ACCCCCCCCCCCCCCCCCATTTACATTAATTCTTATGGGGAAATTGGATTTGCTTAACATCGTTTCGCATAAAGTCGCATTTTTCAGTTGTAGTTACGTTAAGTGAGGAGTTACTATATATTGAAAGCTGTTCAAATTGCAGTGGACGGACTTAATATTTTTCCAGGATTCTGCTCCATGTAGGAGGACACTTAATATATATTGTATAAAGTATATTGTAGTGCAGTGTAGGCTGCATATGGTCTCCAAATTATATAGAGTTATACAGAAAGGAGGATTTAAAGCTTTAAACACTCCTGATTCTGAAATGGTATGCTGTTGAAGCTCTGACATGACACTACATGCAGAAATCATCAATCCAGAATCCACCTTTCAAATTATGACCTTTACCTTTTTTAAGATGACCTGCAAATAAATTTAGTTATATAATGAATATCTTGAATAGCAAGAGTAAGAGGTGTATTCTGCACATAATATAGGACCATATTGTACCCTCCTGCAGTCAAACCCATAGAAGGATGACTGCGGGGTCCAGAAAACTTCAAAATTCACCTTAATTTCCTTCTAGCACCACCCTCAGTTGCAGAAGGAGGAGAGTTTAGACGAGGCAGAGGGTTTGAATTCCCAAACCCAGAGTCCAGGGGAATTCTGCTATCAGCTTTGCGCATCATGGAGCTCCTCTGAGGAAGGCTGGCCCCCTGTGGTATTGTCTTCCACCAACAACATGGCTCCCTCAGGGACTGTACTCCCATTGGACATCTTCCTTTATGGGTGTGTACTAGAAGCCATGGAGAAGCTGTCCTATAAGAAAAATATACCATAATGTGTGTATTTAACAATACCATGATTTTGTAAAATCTAAATTGGACTTAGTTTGCATCATATGCATAGGCACAACCTGACAGGGATAAAAGGGACATAGTTCCCCTCCACCTGCACACACACATTTTCCTTCCTCTTAGTGCTTTTCTGTGCACGTGCATACACAGCGCTGCTGCTAACACTGTAGGGGGAAACAAAAATGAAAATTCTTTTCCCCTTCATGCTATAGACCTCTCCCAGCTGCTGCTTTTCTCCTTTCACCACAACCATGCCACATCCTTTGCCAGCCGAGTCCTGGTGAACACAAGTGTTGACAAATGAGGCATCAGGTAAAACTGCAGTGTTTGGTCTTTTCTCCCTGCTGGTGATGCTGTTATGCAGCTACCACCTCCATCTCATCACTTCCCTCCCTTCCTCCTCACTGTATCCACATTGGAATAAAGAAATAGTATTCTGGAAGGGAAACAAGGATGAGAATTGGGGAAACATCAGGAAGGGTAGTAGTGGGAGTGGAAATGGATATGTTTATAGTAAAAGAGGCTATTCCTCTGCATACTCTTCAACAAGCTCCCAAATGGTTTTGTTTATTTATTTATTTATTTATTTATTTCAGTTATACCTTGGTTCCTTGTATCGGTTACAAACTTTTGTTCCAAATGTGGTTTTGCTTTGGAAAGGCATCATGTAAAATGGGCACTTTCTTACTCAGTACCACTTCTCCGTGTATGTCAGAGTCCTATCCGCTAACTTTAGCGTAAAAAATATAAGCTTTGACTACTTTTTACTCCTACTTTACACCAACACAGCCTAAGGAGGAGTAAATTGTGCTCTGTTTTGGTTTCTACATCAGCAAGAATTAACTAGTTTGGGGGGCTGTATTTTACTTTCCATTACAAATGTGTAACATTTGCAGATGATCTGTGGTTGCAGAGGCTCAGTTGGGTTGAATTGAGCTGACTTTTGTTGGTAAAATCTATAGTAACAGTGATGCAAAAATCAGAACGCAGCTTGATTTTCATTTCAGTACCTAGGGCTGGCAGTTAGAAAAAAAAATCTCTCTCTAAATAAGGCAGAGTCTGAGAAACAACGCATGGAAACCCACAATGTCTTCTGAACAGAATTACTTTTCAGAGTAGAACCACAGTTAAAAAGTCTGATGTAGTCTAGAGCAGACTTCCATAGTTATACCATAGTGCATCTTGGGAAGCAGGAGACAGTAGGTCTGCAAGGTGGGACATAAGTGTTTGATCTTCAGTTCTTCTCCAAGTCACAAATGCTGTCAGTTATGTGATGAATGCTCTTACTCTTGCTGTATGGGCATGCTGCAAATTATTCTAAATATGTTGTTTTTTTGTCACAGTATGTACAGGTCACCTTTTAAAGATAATCTATGCTTTTCTGCCAGAGAGTGAATCTGATTTTTCTGTGTTGAATTTAAACCATTTTGTTTTGTGTTTTATTTGCAGGCCAAAGCCATTGCATGAAATTCCAGCCTTCTACTGTCCTGACAAGAACAAAGTGAATTTCATTCCTAAAAGTGGCTCTGCTTTTTGCCTTGTCAGTATTCTCAAACCACTTCTTCCCACACCGGATCTTACGCTCAAAGGCACTACTCATAGCCTGACTGTCTCCTCTGGCATGACACCTAATTTGCTACAGCCCATTGCCATGGCCTCCCTGTCTGCAAACACTGAGCAAGACCGGATCTCTCGTGGAACAAGTACAGTAATACCACAGACCTCTATACTCCAGCAATCAGGACATATCGAAGAAGCTGAGTGATGAGTCTCCATTGTGCAGGCATTGTTCTGGAGAGACTGCTAGGAAGACCTTGTTTAAACTAGTTGTGACTGGTCACACCTGTTTGTTCATTTTAACAGCTCATGACATTGTCATAGTCATATTCTCCTGATCTCCATGACTATATTGGTAGCATGCTGAGAAATCTAGGAGGAAGCAGCAGAAGAAGCAGTGCTATACTCTACTTGTGAAGACTAGCGTTCAGTTTCTCGCCTGCCTTTTTTTTTTCCCCCCCAAGCTCTGATAAGACAAAGACTGTTACTAATTCTTTGCCATTGGAAGGATCAGTTATTGTGATGTTTTGTGTCCTTTAGACTTTTTCAACAACAACAAACATTTTGAGAGACAGCTGATGCCAGCAACCACTGTAACTTGCAGAGGGAGGGGTAACCATATGGCACTGCAAGACCCATCTTTTGTATGAAAATGAATATTTTATAACAAGTTTGCATTTTCTGATACAGAGCAAGATGTTCAAAAGACACTTTCATAGCCACTGTTTTCCATTCTTTGGGTGGTACGTTTTTCTCAGCTGTTTTCCAGCTGCTGGGACCAAAGGATTGTTGAAATACTTTAGCAGTCTCCGTCATGTGACCTTGTTCAACAGTCCCTACCCCCAACAAAAGCAAATAAATTAATGCATACAAAATGTAAAACAAAAGGAAAGAAAAAACAATATTAGTATGTTATGTGCATTTGGTTTTGATATCAGAGGTTTGTGCTTTGGTAAACCACATTGTTCTTGAATGCTACTCCCTAGATAGAATTCCTGTGTACATTTAATTACATGGGCAGAAAATAGCATTTTAGAGCACTTGTCCCAATAGCGTAATCACTTTTCCCTAGAACTTTTGTTTGGGTTAAAAAATGTCTCTTCCCTGCCTCCACCCAAACAAACAAACAAAAACAAAACCTGCCTCTTGGCTCTTGAGAGATCTCTTGGTTACTTGTGTAATTCAGTCTGAATCATGCATCAGTTTTTGGCACAAAATTCACTCTGTTGTGGCTGATCACTGTACTATAGACCCTAGCCACATGATACTGAAATGGCTATGCATGATTCCTCATCCTTGTCATAATGCTGTTTTGTGGGTGTGTTGAGGGTAGTAGTTTGTTAGGCATGGTATTTGTTACACAGCAGTCAACAGCAACAGATATGTTCTCCCTTTTTGACTAGCAACATTGTCGAGTGTGTCAGAGAGAGGATATGTTGATGCCTGGTTCTGGTTTGCAGCTGTTCCCCGTTTCCTTTATGCCTCTGTGGTTCTTTGACAGTTGAAATAAAAAATGAAAATGGGGAGGGATGTTCAAAGAGAGCTTGTTCAGGGACTGCAGTGAGGTTTCTCCCAGAGTACTGAAATGCACTTCTTGTCTTTAGATAAATATCACAGTCCAAACATCTGCAACTGCTTTAATACCAAAGTATCTTCAGGTTACAAAAATCAGTTGACAGAATCCCTGTTTTGAGGAGGTGGCTTCAGTCATTTCAAAGTAGGTGTTTCAATGTATAGTCTCTGGGTCTGAATAGTCACCCACTGCATATGTGCAGCTCTCATTGACTTACATACAAACAATTCCCATGCATCAGCTGCATAATCACACACCTGTTTGTAATTACATCTTTTTAAGAACCATATCGCAAATGTAATCATTTTGTTCTTTGTGTAACACACTGAGAATTTGGTTGCAGACACCTGAGCCAGGAAAAATACTTGTGTGTCTTAGCAGCCAATAGTTTCTATGTACTTATGATGCACATTGGGTAGTTCCTATAAATCCCACATAATAACATATAGCAATAAATATACTAAAAGAATAACTGTAAAATGCACTAGCCTACATAAGTGCTGCATTTATGGTATAATGAGCACCCTTTTTAAAGTTACCTAATAACCAAATTTCAACACTTAGTCCATTGTGGTTATTTATAGGGTTATTAGATCTGTTAAATTAATTAACAAATTGAGGACCAAATCCTACTCACTTTACTCATTCCCATTGAAATCAGTGGGATTACTCATGTGAGTAAGAGGACTTGGTCATGAATGAACATATTTGGTCCACATCAATAAAGTTGGGGGAGGGGAAAGTTTGATAAGATCCTAGTGGTTAGTACATCAAAGCTACATTATAAAAGATTACCATTTTAGGAATAATGGGACATTACTAGTAAATTCTATGGACACCTAAGAGAGGTCTCCTTTCTAAAACATTTAAAAATCATGGTAGCTTGTTTAGACAGCGTTAGGGTTTGGACAAAATCTGATATTTTTGGCTTTGTGGAAGATGGAAATACTTAGGCAAGGGGACTTTTTGTATGGCATCCAAACTAATTTCTACTTCTTTCATAGTAACAGGTAAAGTGCTTCTGCCATTAATGCCAAACAGCATGGTGCTTATCAGGAGATCTTAACTGGATAGTTAAGTACCAAAGGGCTAAAGTCAGCATATAATAAAACTTTTAGTCTTGGGGTTATTAACCGTCCTCCGTCCAAATGCATTCTAATGTCTTTGTTCAACATAATGAATATTTTAAAATAGGAAATGGGATCTCCTATCTTAGATTTTTCTGTAGTACCCATCATTGTAATAGTTGAACATTACCCCCTCATTTAGTTAGTTCACATAGAAGTGCATTAGGAGACAATGTACTATATAAAATAGTGGGCCTACTCCACTAGGAACCAAATGGAAATTCTAGTTTTTTATAAAAGTTGAAGAACCCCAAAACTGAATTAGATGTTTTTTAATGTTAAATTTTTTTGAACATGCCACAGCAATGACTCATATTAAGGTGGTAAGATGGCTTCTATTTGAAGATCAACTTCTGCAAAAAAATTCTTTAGCCTTAAATTTTTCATGCTCTTTCTTGTTGCAGAACAGAGGTATTTGGTAAAGTTTTATAGGTCTTTTTAAAGACATGGATCTTAGAATAGTGTATGGGTTTTTAACTTCTTGAAAATGGGGGGTGTTGGTGTTCCATACATCTCTCAAATATGGTCTGACATAAAGACTTCAAATTAGTTGTGACATACCTATCCCCAGTGAAAACTAGTGCATGAGGCTAGCTACCTTTTTGAATTCTCTAATTCTTAATTATTTAGTCAAAAATTGTCCAGTGACCATTTACATGGGTTCACAACTTGATGCACCTAGGACTTGTTTTTCTGAGGTGTTGAGTACTCCCAACTACAGTTCAAAGCAGTGAGTGGTTCAGTGCTTACCATCGCTGAAAATCAGGCCCTTAGTATCCTAAACTGGACATCCCAAATGTGAGGCATCCACTTGTTGGCCTTATTTTCTACCAACATTAAAAACAGTCCAATGTCTGTGGAGTTCATAAGCTCTGTAGAGTATAAAAGGCCTGTGCCATTGTAGTAGTAGTAATACAGCTCTAGGCTGGCAGTTGCAACTATTAAAATATTTTTCTTCCTTCTTTACTCAAGACACAGGATAATAGGATCTTATTAAACTTTCATTTGCTTCTGCTGCTTATTCCTCACCTGATGCCATAATCCCATGTGTGACATCACAGTTTAATGGGATATAGAGAAAAAAGAATGACATGCCAGGAGTATTAACTTTTAAGAAAAATCCTGTTTTCATCCATGTGACCCCAGTAAAGAAGAAAGGATGGAAAATACAGAAAATATTGAAGCAAAACTTGCTAACATTTTAAGATTTCCATAAAGCCAACAGGTTTCAAAATGGTAGCCGTGTTAGTCTGTATCAGCAAAAACAACGAGGAGTACTTGTGGCACCTTAGAGACTAACAAATGTATTTGTGCATAAGCTTTCGTGGGCTAAAACCCACTTCATCAGATGCATGGAGTAGAAAATACAGTCGGAAGATATCTATAACAGTACATAAAAAGTAAATTTTTTCATGTACTGTTATAGATATCTTCCGACTGTATTTTCTACTCCATGCATCTGATGAAGTGGGTTTTAGCCCACAAAAGCGCATGCCCAAATACATTTGTTACTCTCTTAGGTGCCACAAGTACTCCTCGTTGTTTTTGATAAAGCCAACAGCAGTTCTTCAAGGATATTTACTCTCGAGGCTACTCTTTTAGTTTACTTTAAATTATGGTTTACTGATCTCAAAACATTGAAATTATTGGAGAGTACTGTAGAAGTTGATCCTATTGGGGAAAATAGGAGCCTGTATCGATAGGCACTTACATATCCCTCATCCTTGTAGTATCTGGGGAAGTTAAAATATTATGAACATTATGCACCTGTTAGCAAACACATGAAAAAACATAGTCCTGGTGAATTTTAGGCCTACGGCAAGGATAGCATTTCTCAGTGCTTATGCACCAATTTACCACTTTTAATTCCTATACCCAATGGGTTAAAGTTGCCAAGAAAGCTTTTCAAGCAAGGAGTTATGAGAAATTAAAAAATAAATAAATTTTGGTAACGAGGGGGAAAATTAACAACTAGAGACATCCATTAGCCTTTCCCCAATCTCAGGACTTATTTAGCTTTGCTATTGGTGTCATCGGTGGCAAATAAATGGTAATGCAAAAGTCCCTTACAAGAGTACCCTTTTTTTTTTTTTTTTTCCCCTTCACCACCATCTCTGAAATAATGTGGTGTGACTTCCACACATCAGTTCACTGCCAGTGGTATCAAAAAGGTTTTACCCTTTCTGATTTATTTTCTCTCTTGCTGAAGACCAGTCATCTTTTCCACAAAAACTTTAGGGGGGAAAAATCTGATCTGGTAAACTGCATGGAAATAAAATGTGTAATGTGTAGTTGCAAAGACTAATAATATTTGGGTACCCACAGGTATTTTGATCCACCTCTGTCTCTTAATGCACATATTAGTCTTGTTTGGGGACTTTTTCCTCTATTTTTATAGATTGATGTGAGACTTATGTTTGCTAGAAATTTCTTCTTGAACAAACGTTCAGACTTGTCCTACCCACCCAGAATTTATTCACACATTTTCAATAAATATCTCCAAAACAGGGCTTGTGTGTTGTTTCCATTTATTCTTTGTTTTTATTTAATTATTGCCCTCACAATAAACAATGAATGACCAAAAATAAAGGGCCTGGCCATAGGCACCCAAAATGTTTGTTGCTAGAGGACCAGGGCCTCTTCATCCGGTCCTGAAGTCAAGGGGCCCTTCACACCTATTGTACTCAACAGGAGTTGAGAGCTCTCAGGACCAAAGCTGTTTTTCTCTGCTAAAGCTCAAGTTAGTAAAGAGATCATCCATCGTAATCAAAATGGATGAAAAAGCACAATGTAAGAGATAAATGTCATTACTGTTAAAGAGCTTTTATGAGATTATGGTCACAATTTTTAAAACTGGGTGCATAGGCACCTAAAATCAGGGCACTTACTTTAAAAATGCAGGGTCCCGCAGCTCCCATTGATTTAGATGGGATATGGGGGTGTTCAGCTCCTCAGAAAATCAAACTGCTGTTATATAGGTTCCTGTGTATTTAGGAATTTAATTTCGAGACACTTTTTTGCAAATGTTGGCTTGTGTGTATAGTTACAGGGAAAGAATATTAACCATATTTCATCCTGTTACTGCTTTCTTGGATTCATTTTGTCTTTTGCACATAGTTTTGTGAACTTCAGCTTTGCTAAAGGATTGATGTTGGGCAAAGCAGCAGCTCTCGTAGGGCTGGGCTGGGCTATTTGTCTGAATTGCAGAAAGGTAATCAAAAATTGCAGTCAACATTTCAAATCAGATCTTCATAGGAAATGTATCCTGCAAGCATTCACAGCTTCAAAAATAACCTATTTAGTCACTTCTTCCAATCTGAATCCTCAGTATATTGATAATTAAACAAGAATATAATTTTGATTTTACACTTTGTGAACTGCTTGCTTTTTCTTAAATTCTGTAATTTGGGAGGCTGTCGGTAAGAAGACATCCAAAAGTGCCCTTCAATTTTATTTTCTGTTAGCTGTCATTTCTTTCCTCTGTTACAGTGATAATTTGTGGAGATGCTCATATATATTGTACTGATACAGTAGAACGTCAGAGTTACGAACACCAGAGTTATGAACTAACCAGTCAACCACAGGCCTCATTTGGAACTGGAAGTACGCAAGCAGACAGTAGCGGAGACCAAAAAAGCAAATACAGTACAGTACTGTGTTAAACGTAAACTGCTAAAAAAATAAAGGGAGAGTAACATTTTTCTTCTGCATAGTAA